CGCCTCCCGGGTTCACGCCATTCTCCTGCCTCAGCCTCCCGAGTAGCTGGGACTACAGGAACCCACCACCACACCTGGCTAATTTTTTTTTTTTTTTTTGTATTTTTAGTATGGGGGGGTTTCACCGTGTTAGCCAGGATGGTCTTGATCTCCTGACCTTGTGATCCACCCGCCTCGGCCTCCCAAAGTGCTGGGATTACAGGCATGATGTCCAATTTCTATTCTCTCTTTAATCTCAATTTGATTTGCCATATAAGGTTTTGTCCTAGCCCTCAGTCCAAACTTCCACATTCATGAACTTATTAGATATTACAATGCCCTGCCTTCAGAATAGTATTTTGTTTTCATAATTCATTTGGCAATAAAGTTTATATCTAAAAATCAGGTTTATAATCATACTTTTTTTTTTTGTTTGTTTTTTAAATAGAGATGGAGTCTCACTATGTTGTGCAGACTGATCTCAATCTCCTGGCCTCAAGCAATCCTCCCATCCCAGCCTCTCAAAGTGCTGGCAAGGCATGAGCCACCATGTCTGGCCTGCACATTTTAACTTTGAACACTTCTACCTTTTCAAATAATCTCACCAGTACAAACAAGTTTTTCAAAAGTTTTCTGCTACTATTACGAAATAATAGTCAAAAAAAGCATAAATACGTCAACTGTTTAAAAAATGTTTCTAAGTCTATTTCTTTAGAGAGGAATATGCTTTTAAGGTCAATAAAAGCTTTGAGTCCAGAATAATTGCATTACAAGAGTGGAAGTCTCATAAAAAGGTTGACCAAGTAAAAATAACCCAAAAGGAGGACAGAAAAATAAACAGTCAAATGTTTAGACTAAAAAGTTCTCAGTGTTAAAGTAGGCTGAGCATGTCTTAAAAGTTTTTCCCCTTACATTTTACTACGAAAAGTTTCAAACATACAGAAAGTTTGAAAGAATCGTGGCCACCACCTAGATCCTACATATGTTGACAGTTTGCTGTATTTGCTTTATCACATGTCTACCCATCTATCCATCAGTTCACGTATTTTTCATTCATTTCAAATTAAATGGCAGAGTGGCCAGCATTAGTAGACTTCACCCTTAAAGACTTCAACAAAAATTGCAATGTTTATTTTTCTCTCTGAGGTAAAATTTACATAGAATAAAATACACAAATCTTAAGTGTACCATTCAATGAGTTTTGCTATACCCAGGTTTTCACTGTAATCGTTTCAATAAAGATTTGTGTGTGTATTTCTTTTTTAAAAAAATAGTACAAACTTTATTCATAAATAAAACACAAAGATAAAAGCAGGGACATTTCCTGTTCTTAAAAGGGAATGGTGGAAGGCAGTATGCCATCTGATTTAAAATCACAAGTTAGGTTTTTCAGATGGATGACAGTTGAGATTATTAAATCCCATTCCTGCTTCTCAGATTTTCACAAAATAACACATTAAATTCTCAGTGTGTGTGTATTTCTTAATTTATAATGTATAGCTATGAAACTCAGCATCACTGAGCAAATCTAGAATCTGAATCTAGCCTAGCTTCTTCTAAGAGTAATCAATACCTTTTCTTTCCTATTATATTAGTGATCAATTAATACATTATATTACTACACATACACATTATTGTCACTTACTCAATCAAAGCCCCTCCTTGCAAGCACAATACTTTTTAAAAAAAATCTGCTTACTAAGGTATAGTGTTTTAAGTTAAAATTCGCCATTTAAGTGTACACTGTCATCACTTCAGAAAAGTTCTCTCTTGTCCCTTTGCAGCCAATCTCTTCCCTCTATCACCATACCCTGTTCAATACCTTTTATTCCCACTGCACAAAGCAAATTCTTTGTTATCAATCAAGATAGAAGCAATAATGAATCCTGTAATGGAAACTATATTTTGGATATAAGCATCTGTGCCATATCCAACTCAAGTTATGCAAACTTACATATGGTGATACATGCTTTAGATTCTCCATATGTAGATTATGGTACAGATACCTTGAAATTTATTAAAGGAAGTAAATTCTGCATATGTATTCTGTCAGCATATAGATGTTATAATCTCTAATGCCATTATGATTATTAAAATAGTCTATGCTTCCAAACAGAAACATCTTCGAGCACAAATTTTTCAAAGTACTTTAATAACATTCTGCTGTTAAGTATCCACTCGTGTAAAGCTTTACAACTAAGGAAAATCACTACTGATACATTCAAGATGCCCATTCTCAAATAACATGACAGGTTGGCTGATTTTAAAAAAAAAAAAAAAAGAAAGAGGAACGCTAAATCTAGATGGAAAGAATCTTACATTTTAATAGTTATTAATTTACACGTGGTGGGCAGCCTCTAAGATGGGCCCCAGTAACCTGGTCTCCTGTATTTCCACCCTTGTGTAATCAATCCCCTTCCCTGGAGTGCAGGCTGGACTTACTGACTCATTTCTAATGAACAGAATAGAGCAGAAGTGGTAAGATGTCACTATGAGATTAGGCTGTAAGACTGTGTCTTCAGTCTTGGGCACTCTCTCTCACTTTTGCCCCCTCTTTTATGTTTCATGCTGGGAAGTGAGCTGCCAGGCTGTGAACAGCCAGCCCTGTGAAGAGTACCACAGCCAGTGAGGAACTGAAGCCTGGCAACAACCACGTGAGTGAACTTGGAAGAGGATTCGTCCTGCAGTCGTGCCTTCCTTCCGGTGAGATAGCAGCACTGGACTACAATCTCAGGAGAGATCCTGAGCCAGAGGCATACAGCTAAGCCACGCCCAGATTCCTGACCCAAAGAAACTGTGAGATGACAACTGCTACTTTAAGGTAATTCATTACCCAACAATAGGTAACTAATATACTGTGAGATTTATATTAAATCAGCTGCAATTTGAGCTACAGATAACTAACGTAAGAAAATGTGAAAATGAATTCAATCATTAGTACCCAGGCTTTCTCATTTATCTTTGAGGTAAAGGTTTATTTTTTTAATTAGAATTTTTGTTGAGATAATTATAGATTCACATGCATTCGTAAGAAATAATACAGAGAGATCCCTTGTATTCTTTGCTCAGTTCCCCCATTGGTAACATTTTACAAAACTATAGTATATTATCATAACCAGAATACTGACATTGATACAATCCACCCATCTTATTCAGATTGCCTCAGTTTTACAGGTACTCAACTGTGTGTACATTTCTTACATTTTAATTTTCTCCCATACTCAAATTATGCCCCTTTGTAATTAAAATCTAGCCATTACATTATTCCTTATAAATGTTCTATCTGATGGTAAAAGTTGTCAAGAGACAAGATTTCAGAATTTATTTCACAGCTCCAAACAAATTGAAAATGGACTCAGTAACAGGAAGCAATAAAGACCACTTATAGGTGATGTAATTGTCAAAGAAAAATTCACTTACCCTGAAAGTTTTCTTGAAAGCAAACTATAAAACAAATGTTACCCTTTCCCCAGAATTAATGTATTCGTATGTGAAATTCAGATGTGAAGTATTAAGTGCGGTTGAAATTTTAACACTGCCTTTTTTCCTCTTATGAAAGAAGTGAGAAGTTAGTATTGTTTGTGTAACAACGCCTCAAAAATCAATATATCCAAGTTTTAGTTTTATGACTAGGCAGTGTTAAAATTAATACTTAAACATCCACACACAAACAGCCAAGGAAAAAGTCAAGCTGATTACGAACCATGCAAAGCCAAACACTTTTGCATAAAAGATACACCTTAAAGGAAAACAAAGGGATACCTACTTTCTGCTGCTAGAAGTCCTAGGAGGAAGGCAGCATATGGACAAACAACAAACAGTATGATTTTACAACAAGTAGGTTATCAAGCCACAGTTTGGCCCACTACATGAGCCACCAGAAGCACGGTCCCCCAGCCAACCCCAAAGTGAGCCCTTATGTTCCACAAGTACAATCACTGGAACTGTTTGGGATTTCAGACATCAAACACTGGGTTCTGATTCCGAATTATTTGATTTGAAATATGAGAAAAGAATATTTCTACTTTGAATTTTTTTTTTTTTTTTGAGATGGGGTCTCACTCTACCACCCAGGCTGCAGTACAGTGGCACAATCTCAGCTCATTGCAACCTCTGCCTCCTGGGCTCAAGTGATCCTCCTACCTCAGCCCAGCTCCCTCCCCTCCTGGTAGCTAGGACTACAGGCACATGCCATCATGCCCAGCTAATTTTTGTATTTTTAGTAGAGACGGGGTTTTGCCATGTTGGCCAGGCTGGCCTCGAACTCCTGACCTCAAGTGATCCACCCACCTCCACCTCCCAAAGTATTGGGATTACAGGCCTGAACCACCATGCCCAGCCTCACTTCAAGCAACACACAGTTTATCATAAGATTAAATGAATTCTAGTAAATGCAAAATGTATGCATTTCAATAATCAAAATAGAAAATTATCATTTACAGAAAAACTGTTTTACATCATAAACAATATACCTAAACATGTATGACTTTTCATTAGATGACAAGTTTTTAAACTGTTATTTTATATATTCATATTTTCCTAAATGCATAGAGTATTACTCTTTTTATTTTCCTTTCCTTTCCTTTTTTTTTTTTTTTTTTTTTT